CAGTTCGATAATATAACCCAAAATATTAACCGCTCAAAAAAATAATTCAAAAGTACACAATTTTTGACGACATTTATTCAGATGGCATTAATATTGAGGAAAATTTAGAAATAAAACTAGGAAGAAACTATCAAACAAATTATTTGCAATCTCAATAGCTGTTTTTAAGTACAAATATTACATCGAAAATTTTGGAGATTTATTTGAAATAATGCAAAGAAGTTCGTTTAAAAATGTAAGAGAAAAGAATGACAGTAAAATAACTGAATAGCCGTAAATTACACAAGTTTGTGAAAATATATAAATCAAATAAAAAGTGTGAAATAGCTGATTCATTGCAGGCATTTCAAAAAAGTCCTTTAATTCGTTTTGGAAAACGATTTGCGATGGAAGATGGACTTTCGGAAACTTTAGCACGTCTTCAACAACAACAGCATCTTCTAGATCAAGAGCAATACCTTAAAGGCAAGAATCGCTTTCGTCGATGATCTGCACAAATAGCTAATAAAAGCATTATGATCGGAGTAGCTGAACGAACCAACACTATTACAAAGACAACTTTAGTATTCATTCTACTTGTTTCTGATGTACGAAATTTATTCTACTTCAACTAGCTTGTAATTTTTGATATAACAGTATTTAGTGATGATAGCTTCTGGTCATAAAATATGTGAATGATACTTTGAATTTTACATGCCAAAAAAATGGAGTAACTTTATACACAACACAAATTGAAAAAGGTTTTGACTTATTTTTGTAAAAATATTCATGCAACTTCAGTAATTAATCTATAATCGAATTCTTCAACATCTAGATGGAAGGCAACAAACTGTCAAAGTAGACTAAAACAGCGCAATCGTTATCTTAATCATTCACTTTTGAAAGTAAAACGCTTTAGAACTTACAAAAACGGTGTGATGGGTGAAAAACCCAGCAAAACTTTACTATCAAAATAAGAATAGTCAGATGTCCAACAAATTAAAAGAGTGCCACCTTATATGCTTTGGTAG